AGAAGGGCTGTGGGGAAGGCAAAACCAGCAAGCTGGGGTGGGCTAAGGCACTGCTCGGGACTGTGTTTAAACCTTCCCCAAGCCCTGGGGAGGTGCCCTCCCTACTGGAAATGGCCACATGCTCAAGTATCATCCTTAGATAAGTGGCCTGGATGTGAATGATGCAGCAGCCGCAGAATAACCTGCTAATAACGAAGGAATCCAGCAAGTGGCAGAGGCTGTATGATGGCAGCTGCTCATGAAGGCGGATAAGCATTTTGAAATGCATGAAAGGATTCTTGTGAAGCGCTGGAAAGCATTGAGACAACCCAAAGGAACAGAGCCCATCTGCTTTCCAAGCCACCTGAGCACCCTTCACACCCAGAGCCTTCCAGGACAGCCAGCATCTGACAGCAGCAGCAGGAACCCCTGCGGTTCCAGGCCGGCTTTGGGGTTCCAGACGGTCTTGACAGCCAGGAGCCTCAACACAGGCCCAGCCAGGCAGCATGCATACATGGTATGCACTGGCATACGGCTCACCGCAGGTTCGTGGCAGCAAACTGCTAGAAGAGGCTCCTTTGGATACAGGGTTTCATCTGCTCTTACGGCCTGCTGCCGCCCCTGAAGCAACAATCATCCCCACCTGGTGACAAGCACCACCAGCTGCCGAGGAGCTGCATCAGTGACAAGGAAAGAAATGAATGGGGGCTATGAAGGTGTCAAACAGCCAGGCCCTGCTCTCCTGAATGCTACTGAGCCCCTGCTCCACCACAGGGCTATGTGCTGGGACAGACTCTTGGGCAAGTCACTCCATCTACTCCAGGCCTCGGTGCCCTGTCTGCCATGTGGGATATCCCCCGCACCCTCCCAGGGACAAAAGGAACAAATCCCTTCCTGATTACAAGACATTTGTATTCTGGTGAGGAGGTCCACACAATTACCACAGAAGCACAACAGGCTTGGGGAAGGGTTCCACCCTGACTTGCTGCCGACAGCCCATTTCACAGCTGGGAGAGGGAAGGCCATTTGTCCAGGGTCAGCCCCTGGCAGTGCTGCAGACTTGTTGAGTATCTTCCACCTCACACATGGGTGTAAGGAGGGACGGTTCTCCTAGGCCCAGTGAAGGGGTGTGGGCATTAACGTGTGGGTCAGGTAGGCAGGGATGCTTGGCATGGGCACCTTCCCCACGTTCTTAGGGGAAACTCATTGGGACAGCAGTAAGTTTCAAGGCTCAGCAAGTGTGGGGCTGAGCTAGGGAGGATCCTAGGGGCTTTGTGCAATCCCGGCGTGCCTTGTTTCATCCCCTGTCCCCCT